CTCCTGCGCTCCCTGCATACCTTAAGATTTGTATTTGACAGTCACTTTTCCAGACAGTCAGAGTATGTTTATCTTTTTAACTGTCAGGTGTAAACAGCACTTTTATCTTTCAAAACTGCTAGCTTAAACTGCCTCCTGACTCAAGCAATGGAATAACTTCTATGGGAACAGAATAACATCTGTGGGAAAGACTTAAAATGCCTGCAATTATTCTAAATCTTGCAGTATAACTCATCATAACAAAACATATTTGATGCACATTTTAAATGGCGTTGGTTTTATCTGTGACTGACAGCAAAACCGCAGTGGGCTTTGACTGATCATTATTTCTGCCTGCAGGTTCACACAAAAGGTATGTTTTCTCTTAAAGTTTTATTCTGTACATCATCATAAATAATACAACAGGACAGCGCTGATATCTTGACATACATATCTTCATAAAACCCTTACACAAAAAGTTCTTTACAGGGAAAAATACAACATATTTTAAAATCAACAGTATTTCTTCCCCACAGTTGGACCTGGTTGTGTGACACTAGTTCAGATTTGCACTTGCCATGTTTTCATTTGGCTGAGAAAACAACAACTATTCTATTCTTTTTCTTATTGAACTTAAAAAAAAACATAAGAATATTACTGAGATAGTATTTGTTTCTTTTAAATGTTGCATTTTCATCACAAAAAAATTACTAGGTTTTGATTTGCAATAATGACATTATTATAATATAATTATTATGATATAATGACATACTATAAAATATAGATTTTTGTATTTTTTTTTTCCATTTTTTCATAACAATCTTACTGTGATAATGTCTTCCATTAGTTTTTTTTTGTCACAAAATGTCCAATATTGAATTTATTATTTTGTTTTTCTAACAGAAATAATAGAGCTATAATGTAACTCCATGATGGCTATATTGATAAACAATTGAAAATGCAAAAAAAATGCAAAAAAAAATAAAAAAAATAATGGGTTTGTAATTTTCTTTCAAATTAACACTCCAAATTATGCTTTCAAGACTATCATAATAATTCTTGCAATTTTGACAAAACCGCATGTCACTCAGCTAGACTGATATATGACATGTTTAAAACCGCCAGATCTAAAATCATATGGGCAAGATCGGAAAATGTAAGATGTAGTGATAACGTACCACTAGCCCAAAACAGCAGGTGTCAGTGTCAACTGACCTGAAACTCTTTCACATGTGCCCCAGGTCATCCTAACTGCTGAACTCTGCAGGTGTGAGTACTACTAAAACTAGGCCAGTTCCTCAAGATATTATATTAGCAACCACAAGTCTCATTCTTGAACAACGAGGTACATCTTATAAGTTATGTGTACAATGCACATCAATAATTCCATGAATATGTGAGATCTTTCAGCATAGCCTACTTCTTGAATTTAAAAGAAACCCTCAATAGGAGTTTATTTTCTCTACATATCTCAACAAATTGCCAAAAAAAATTGAGGCACTTTGAGAAGAAGCAAATTATGCCTCAGTGGCAAAACTGACAAAATAAGGGACACTGACAATACTTCTTATCAGACAGCGCACATTTGCCTGTGGTTCAGGTGTTCAGACCCATTAGGACCCACATGCTCTATACACAAGACAAATGGATGGCATGCTCAGTCCGAAAACCTGAACTGCATTTACGTGACTGGCATACACAATCTTACATGAACTGCATCGGAAACACACAATTCAAGCAATCGGGTGGTTGTAGGCTTGATTTATGACCCCAATATCCACGAATGTCCATATTAAACTCTTTATAGGCATTGATCAATACATTATTTAAAGGGGTCATATAATGCCATTTTCATACAAGTTAATTTGATTCTTTAGGGTCTAAATGAAAAGTTTGTAATATACTTTAATAAAAAAATTTCGTTAGTATTGTAAGAAAACACTAATTTTACCTGGTCAAAACCAGCTGTTTTCAGCACGCCGTTTCAGTGCATATGCCTTTAAATGATAATGAGCTTCGCTCACTCCGCCCCTTCATTATAAACATGGGATTATGAATTATATTGAGAACGTCGTACAACATGCCGTAATGTACCCTGAGTGTAAACCTTAGCCGCATTCATCGTGAAGCGTGCAAGCGATTTGCAAAGATTAATATAAAGGTTAACACAAGTTTACACTCACTTCTTCTGGAGGTGCAGCAGGAACACGAATAGTTGGTATCGATTCTTTTTTCAGGAGCAGCTTCTTAGGGTGTACTCACACTAGCCAGTTTGAACCGTGCCCGAGTGCGTTTGACCACCAAAGCGCGGTTCGTTTGACTAGTGTGAGTGCTCCGCACCGTGCCAGGGCGCGGCTCGATTAGCCGGCCCTGGCCCGCTTGGAAGAGGTGGGCCAGAGCACGGTTCAGTTGGACTCGGGCGCGGTTCGCATGCAGTGTGAGCGCTAACCGTGCTGGAGCACGGAACAGGACGCGTGGCGTCATGGTTTTGCGACGCTCCAAAACCAACACAGTCCGTAATCAAAGCTGCAAAGTCCTTGCTGCACTTCAGCTGGTACCTTGCAAACCTCCTCATACGAGCAGCACGATTACGTGAAAATTTTCGCGCCACTAAAAGGCCACGCATCTGTTTAACAACAGGCTGTGGACCACCGTGGACCAAACGACACAAAATTATCCACAAAGAAAACAGAGCGATGGACTTCATTGTGTTCAGAGAGCGCCGCTCTTCTTGTTTATCCCGAAACCGTCGCACGCACCATAATGACGTAAGCGTGCTCCGGCACGAATGCTGAAACCCTATGTGAGTGCAGGCCAGAGGGGGAGTGGGGAGGGGGAACAATCGTACTCGGGCCCGGTTCATGGCAACCGTGCCTAGTGTGAGTACACCCTTAGCATAACCAGCTCATACTGACCCTCGTTTATAAAGCAGTCTGGTGAGAAAAGATTCGCGAATCGCGCAAACATGAAAGCATTGATGTTGCTCGTGGGGAATATTCCCTTCGAAAACAAAACTCAGCCACTGCGTCTTCAACGGTTGAACACCACAGTCGCTTAGACGCCATTCTGTTCCAGCGTGTCAACAATGACGGACTATGATGACAGCTCGCTCAGGGTGAGGATGTGTTGAAACGCTGCTGTCAATCAAGAATCGTGGGAGGGGCATCCGTTTTATTGACGTCACAATTTGAGGCAGGGGAAAACATATAAGGAGATTAAAACAAAAACACTGGATAGATTGTATCATTATATGATGGTTGTGTACAGGCACTGCCAACACACATTTCAGTACAATCAACTTGAAAAAGTGCATGTACCATTAAATGACCCCTTTAAAATGGATCTGCATTGGTGCTCTGTACATGTAACATAACTCATTTGCCTGGCACATAGACCTCAACTAGGAAGGGTGAGAAGAAAAAGGTTTCAGTAAACAAACAATACTTCACATTTACACACATCTACTCCAGTCAGTCTGTCTGTTCAATGAATTTTTAACAATGACAACCAGATACTCTGGTTAAGGCAGCTTATATAGGCTACTCACAGTAAATTACACTCATGTTGCCCAAAAATGATTTCAAGACAAGCAGCACACTAGGTTTTGAGACAATTATCACGCCTATGATGCTCAAAAAAATAGTCAAGATTGGCAGCTCATTAGGTTTTCGAGAGACAATCAATGATACCTACAATCCACAAATATGCTGTCTACTAGGTCACTAGGTTTTGAAACGGCCAATCACATACATATGATGCCCAAAATGCCTAGGTAGGCAGCTCAGCCATTCATTCAATCTATTAGACAAATAAGTTTGAAAAGCCATGTATTCTTCAAAGATTTGGGAGTTTAATTCATTCAACTGTCAAATGGAGTTGTAATGATCAGTCTCAAGCATTCCCCATAACTTGACAGAGAGCGAAAAAGCTGTTACAAAAAAAGAAGGAAGTGTAATTTGTGGCAGCTTATTTAAAATTGCTATACCCTTGTTACCAATAACGGTTATACTCAGCATATGCTTTTCCATAAGTAAAAGAAGTAAACATCATTTTAGACTGCTGCCTTTCTCAAACAAACAGCAAAAGAAATAAATGTAAGATTCTCGAGCTGAAAAACTTCATTTTGGTAGGCTATTTGAGTAAAGAAATACTTACCAAGCGACAAAAGCAAGAAATATTGTGCAACACTGTATCCGTATTGAGAGTTTATGGGAAGCATAGTAATACGAAGCGCGGATAGCGCAGGCAGCCAGCTCGCTGTAGCAGAATGTTTGCACTGATCTTCTATCCAACACTCACTACAGTGCGCGCCGATCATTACACAGCTTTGTTTTGCGAGGACATTTCCTGTTGAACGCGCGCCTCGGCTGCGGCCTCTAGTGGCCGCATCGCTAACTACAACAAAAGGGGCAGTGCTTGTCACTAACATAACAAGTGCGATTCAAATGTTTATTAAAGGGATAGTTGGACAGAATTGCCAAATGAAACTGACAAAAAATGTAACAGCCATCATCTACGTAGCCTACGTTGATCAAAACCTGACTTAATTTCTTCCGTGAAAGACAGAACGACTGTTTCATTCACCGTTTACGTTCATTGAAAGATGGTAAATGATGACAGAACATGAACAATCACGTCACAATTTGGCTTCAGTTATAAAATCACCTAAACCTGCATATTTTGATCACAAACCCAATAAATTACATGACTAATAACACACCGATGACCGATCTAATCTAATCTGGCTATATATTAAAACACATATTTAATAGTCACGACTCAGCTCCACTAACAGTTATGCAGTCGTTTTCACGCTTAATATGCGCACTGACCGATTGAACAAATGTTATGTAGATTTTTTTTTTTGTTATCCAGCCGTTCCGCTCTGTAACATTAAAATAACGACAAGAAATCAATAAATGTGTGCTATATTTAGCTGTAGCGCAGATGAATACTCCAGCACGGTTACCACAGCAACCCTTCAGACGCTCCGCGTGAGTTCTGCGCCGAAAGCTCGGGAAATGTCAACGGCACGCTGCGCGGACTGGACTGGACCGAGCTGTGCCGCTGCTGCTGCTGCTGCTGTGTTGGGAAGTTTCTGGAAAGCTCGCCGAAAGAGATTCCAGGGGTGCCCTGGAAACATTTCCGTGGTCTGTGCAGCTGTATTTGGTTGTGTTGTGAACTTTTGCAGCGCGTTTCTGTATTCGGTTGTGTTGTGAGTGTTGTGAAACTGATGAAGATGTTTTCTTTAATTTGCGGATGTTTTTTTCTATTTGCATGTGTTTTCTTCAGTTACAGCGCGTTGAGCTATATCGGCCAACCGTATGTTGCCCAATTAGAGAAGGCTGGTTTACCATATGAACGGGTAAGTTACCTCTAAATTATGGGAAGGTTAGAGTCAAGGTAAACACTGTGTTTGTTTATTAGCCCCGTAAGTTGTGAAGACAGGTTGTCATTGGAGGAAAGAGTAAAATATTGACTTTTAATGTCTTGATTAGGTCATGTAAATTACCTCGACAAGGAGCACCATTTCAGCATCAAGCAGATCACAGCTATGTTGCTGACCAAAATGAAACACATCGCAGAGGCAATTCTGCAGTATAAAGTGGTGGAGTGTGAGTCATCTCTACGTTTTTGCACTGGAGCCTTGAATAGTTCAAGAAATGTATATATATTTATACCAAATAGATACCAGAGGCATGTAGGCCTACCATAAATAGAGGTTCTCTTACGAGAGGTTCTCTCGTATTGCGTAAGCTAGCTTACGCTACGGGAAAGATTAATCTTTTCTGAGAAATTGAAGCCAAAAAATTATCCTATAATTTTGTATCCATTGTCAACGCAGTTCAGCTGCAGCAGACCATGAGCGGGCTAGCTAGCAGCTCATTGGTTCGCTCACAGAGAACTGCTTAAGCCTATGAGGAGACGCGAATGAACTCTCGGCCAATGAGAGTCTGACATGCTCTCATTGCGTCAGAGCCCGCCGAAACGGGCGTGGTCAGAGAGTATAAATTCGCGTCCCAGGCTGTAAACTCAGATTTTTCATCTCTTCAGCGAGGCTACACACATCTGCTGATCCTGAGAGAACCCGCCGTCATCGAAAAGGCAACTCTAGCGAGCATCTGGGAGACTGAGGAAGCCGGCCGTCTTCGCCACCTTCAGCCGTCCTGCGAGCTAGCGCCATCCGACGGATTTGTATCCTTTTTACGAAAAAGCTTCCTGTATTGTATTGTATTGTATCTAAAAGAGCCGAGCGTCTTTTTAAAGATGTCTCGTAAATCCTCCTGCGGTTCTTGCCGCGCTCCCCTCGAGACTGGAGACCGCCACGTCATCTGCGCTCTCTGCCTCGGATTGGAGCACGCCGAGCTCGCCCTCGCCGATGGCGGCTGCGATCTCTGCGAGGAGATGCCGTTGTCGACCCTGCGGGCTCGACTTCAGGCCACTAAAGTTGCTTCCGCGCCGCCTCTGACTTCGCCGCGGAAGAAGAAACGCCGCTCTCAGAGGCCGCCAGAACCCCAGCTAGAAGCGTTCATCCCGCCGGAGCCTGTCGCCTCCCGCTCTCCTTCTCCGCCGCTTCCGGACGTACAGTTGCCGCCGAGTGGCCGCTCTGTCACCTCCGATGACGCCGCGGACATCAAGGAAACCTGTTCGCTTCTCGCTTCAGACAGTGAGGAATGGTCCGGTTCTCACGCCTCCTCGGCCCGAGAATCCTCTGGGACCCGCGCTGGAATCGAGGAGGAATTAGTGCGCCTCCTCTCACAGGCGTCGAACGCCTCGGGCTCGATTGGTCCCCTCCCCCCGAGCAGACCATCAACCGTATGGACGGCAGCTACTTCCGCCAGCGCTCGACTCCCGTCACTAAACGGGCCGCGCCCTTCCTGCCTGAACTGCACGCGGAACTCACGAAGTCCTGGAATGCCCCGCTCTCTGCCAGATCTCGCTCTGACTCTTCCGCCCCGCTTCGCGTTGTGGACGGAGCCGCAGAAAAGGGCTATCTCTCCATTCCCCCTGTAGAGGACCTGGTCGCTGCACATTTATGCCCGCCTTCCACGAGATGGCGCTCATCACCTGTGCTTCCCTCTAAAGCCTGCAGAGCGACTTCGAGCTTTCACGCCCGCGCTTACTCAGCCGCCGGCCAAGCAGCCTCTGCACTCCACTCCATGTCCGTCCTTCAGATTCTACAGGGCGATTTACTTCATGAATGGGACGAGAGCGGAAAAAATCCCCCCTCAGTCGCGGATTTGAGGAGCGCCACGGACATTGCCCTTCGCGCTACAAAATCTGCTGCTCAAGCCCTGGGGAAATGCATGGCCGCCATTTGTGTGTCTGAAAGACATTTGTGGCTCACACTCGCCGACATGGGAGATTCTGAGCGTGCCGCCTTTCTCAACGCCCCGCTCTCTCCATCCGGCCTCTTCGGATCTGCTGTCACGGGTATCGTTAACGAACCGTTCACGAAGTGCATGGATGCGGCGCTCGCCCCCCTGCGGAGTCAGGGGCTGTGAATACTGAACTATTTGGACGACTGGCTGATTTTGACACAATCACAGAGAGAGCTACTGTCTCATCGTACAGTTCTCCTCGACCATCTGAAAGCTTTGGGCCTCTCTGTCAACTGGACAAAGAGCGCACTATAACCCAGTCAGACTATCTCCTTCTTGGGTATAGAGCTAGACTCGGTCACGATGACGGCTCGTCTGTCAACACAGCGCGTGCGTCGGGTTCAGCGTCTCGCCGCATCTTTTCAGATGAACAGACTCACACCTCTGAAAACTTTTCAGAAGGCGTTGGGTTACATGGCCTCAGCCTCCGCGGTGCTCCAGCTGGGGTTACTGCGCATGCGCCCGCTTCAGCTCTGGTTGAAGAGCCGTGTGTCTCACCGTGCGTGGACCACGGGCCGCCAGCTGATAAAGGTAACGCAGACCTGTATCACAGCTCTGCAGCCATGGACCATGGCAGAATGGTTTCAGCGGGGCGTTTCCATGGGGACCTTTTCTCGCCGAAAAGTCATCTCGACAGACGCATCCAACACGGGTTGGGGTGCGGTCTGCGAGGGCTCACCGGCCTTCGGCCCCTGGTCAGCTCAGGAGAGTCTCCTCCACATAAACTGTTTGGAGATGCTGGCGGTCGAGAACGCGCTCACGCGCTTTCTTCCGCGCATTCACGGTCACCACGTGCTGATCTGTTCGGACAATATAGCCGTGGTCTCCTATCTAAACCGTCAGGGCGGAGTCAGATCCAGGAATCTCTTCCAGCTGACAGAACGCATCTTAGTTTGGTCTCAGTGTCACCTGCTCTCGCGCAGAGCGACGCACGTGCCGGGCCATCTGAACGACGGTCCAGACAGTCTGTCCAGGAACCCCATTCCCCCCGGGGAATGGTCCCTGCACACTCTTACAGTCCAAAAGCTGTGGCGAATATTCGGCAGAGCAGAGGTGGACCTCTTCGCCTCAGAAGAGAACACCCACTGCCCAATATTTTTCTCAAAGAGCGAGGACGCGCTAGCCTAGACCTGGCCCAGCAGCCCGCTTTATGCTTTCCCTCCGGTTTCTCTGCTACCACAGGTGCTTCAGAGAATCAGGGAAACACGCCACTCGGTGCTCCTCATAGCCCCGCGTTGGGAGGGTCAGACTTGGTTTCCGGAGCTCACTCAGCTGTCACAGACAGCCCCGTGGCCCATTCCAGTCAGAGCAGATCTCCTCTCCCAAGCTCGCGGCACGATCTGGCATCCCCACCCAGAGCGCTGGGCGCTACATGCGTGGGTGATCAACGACTACCCGTTGCTTTGCCAGAGGGAGTGTTAAACACGATAGTGCAGGCTAGAGCGGCTTCTACTAGAAGGCTCTATGCGTCTAAATGGTCTGTGTTCTCTAAATGGTGCACCGACAGAAATTTGGACCCACGGTCATGCGAGGTCCCTTCCTGGCTAGTTTTTCTCCAAGAGATGTTGGACAAGGGCAGGTCCCCGTCCACTCTCAAGGTGTATGTGGCAGCCGTCGCAGCGTTCGTTGAACCCCGGCGCGGCCAGTCACTGGGCAAAGATGGCTTGGTCATCCGCTTCCTCAGGGGAGCTAGAAGGATGAACCCCCCACGCCCCCCTTCGGTGCCGATTTGGGACCTTTCCATAGTTCTCGAAGCTATGAAAGCCCCCCCATTCGAACCACTAAACACCGTGGACCTCAAATACCTTTCACTCAAAACCGTTTTTCTGCTCGCGCTCGCGTCAGTAAAACGTGTGGGAGACCTTCACGCGCTGTCCATTAGCGCTTCCTGTCTTGAGTTTGGGCCCAATGACTCCTTGGTCGTTCTCAAACCTAGACACGGTTATGTCCCAAAAGCGATTGGTACCCCGTTCAGGGCACAAGTTATTTCCCTATCGGCTCTGCCTGCATCCGATAGCGAATCTGACTCTAATCTCCTGTGTCCGGTCAGGGCCCTGAGATTATACTTTACTCGCACTGCTCCGGTCAGACGATCCGAGCAGTTTTTTGTTTCGTTCGGTGGGCGCACCAAAGGGTTGGCCGCCTCGATACAGACTCTATCCAGATGGATAGTTGATGCCATTGCAGCCGCATACGCATCAAAAGACCTGCCATGCCCTCTGGGCATCAGGGCTCATTCCACTAGAGGCATGGCCTCATCGTGGGCATGGTCAAGCGGAATTTCCATTCATGACATTTGTGTGGCAGCGGGATGGGCTTCCCCCTCCACCTTTGTCAGATTTTACAATCTGGAAGTTCCCGCCTTGCAGGCTAAACTACTAGCAGTCTAGAATGTTACAGCTCTTCTGGTTGAGCTGCACTATAGGGAGTAATTTCACACAGACCGGTTTCGCTCTGTCCCTCTCTATCATGTGCTTATGTACTACACAATCTCCGGCCCGCTCTGCTGGCCTTTGTCACATGTACATATATTTATTCCCACTCATAAGGGTTCCCTGGGGTCTCCCCTGGGACTCATAGTGGATGCTTAGCACGCACGGCGTTGACCAGGTGTTCCCGTAGCGTAAGCTAGCTTATGCAATACGAGAGAACCTCTCGTAAGAGAACGAATCGGTTACCTAACGTAACCTCGGTTCTCTCTAGATGAGGGAACGAGTATTGCGTTCCTGGCCGTGCTTGTGCTACTAGCGTTCTCGCTTCATTCTATGAAAACCAGAGTTTACAGCCTGGGACGTGAATTTATACTCTCTAACCACGCCCGTTTCGGCGGGCTTTGACGCAATGAGAGCATGTCAGATTCTCATTGGCCGAGAGTTCATTCGCGTCTCCTCATAGACTTAAGCAGTTCTCTGTGAGCGAACCAATGAGCTGCTAGCTAGCCCGCTCATGGTCTGCTGCAGCTGAACTGCGTTGACAATGGATACAAAATTATAGGATAATTTTGGCTTCAATTTCTCAGAAAAGATGAATCTTTCCCGTAGCGTAAGCTAGCTTACGCAATACTCGTTCCCTCATCTAGAGAGAACCGAGGTTACGTTAGGTAACCGATTCGTTTTAGTTCATTAGAAATTCTCCCACATGATAATATATTATAGTAATTTATAGGCTTGTCATCATGATATATTAAAGAAAAGGCCTTGCTTCGCTTTCATACAGCTGGAAATTTTAACCAGGCCTTTTTTAATTTGTATGTAAACCACTAATGTGCAAGCCACCAATCCGATGGTTTGTTTGTTTGTGTTATTTCTTTGGCCATACAAATGATTTCACACGCATAGATCCCCTCATTCTTCCCTGCTTTCAGAAAGGAGGTCTGTTCTGGATGCTGCCAAGAACTGCCTAAAGCTAATGAATGACAACACTGCAGGTATCCTTTGAATTAATGAAACTCACTACAATTGCATTTGCCTCGTCTAAAGCAATGTCCACACTCACAGTATCATTTATCATTCCAGTGTCTTTAAACTACGGCATAGGCCTATTTATGGAAGATCTTCAGGCTGTGATGAGAATCCAAAGATTGTGGCGTTTGTGGACATGGGCCACTCAGCACTCCAGGTCTCTGTTTGTGCATTCAAGCAAACTTAGTCTCAGTCAAAGTAAGAGGCTTGTGTAGATTCCCAACTTTGCATTTTCACGCACATCAGTGCATGCTTGCTCTGTACTTTGCAGGTGCTGTCTACCGCCTTTGATCCTTATTTGGGAGGGAATGACTTTGATCAGAGGCTGGTGGAATATTTCTCTGCTGAATTTACAAGATGGATGTAAAGTCCAAGGCTTGAGCTTTGTTGCGACTGACACAAGAGTGCCAGAAACTCAAGAAACTGATGAGCAGCAACAACAGTGCTTTATGAATGATATAGACGTATGTGGGAAAATGAACAGGTACTTGACTGTTTGTTTAGTATCACTTAGAGCTCAGTTCTGTTATGCCTTTGGGGTGCACAGTATATCTGTTCCATTTAGTTTATTGTCCAAAATTAGAGATGTTTTTTTTTTCATTGTTATTGGTCGATAATTTATATTTAATTGTATATGCTCAGTTTCCTCAATTTTTCACTCCTCCTGCACTAATAATTTATTAACACTTCATATGTAGTCTTTACCAAAGTTCAAAATTAACATTCATTTTTTCATACTGTACATTATAATGTTATGATGCTTAAAGGAGCTGTATGTAAGAAATTTATTTCAATTAATCATAAAATGGCCCTGATATGTCACTAGACATTAAGAAATCATGTTCATTTCAAATACTTATATCACTGACAACAGTAGTCCGGCCAGGATATTGTCCTTTAAAAAGTGAAGTTGCAGCCCTCAACTGATGTTGATGTTGTCATGTTGTGTTTTGGTCTGATGCTCCACCCTCCACCTATCTACCAATCACGAAGTCAGTAGTGTTGCGGCATCCGGGTTGCCAGCTCTGCTCTAGTTACCACAGCTGCAGCTCGTCACGTTCCTGCTGGATCCTGCAGCCGATCTGGCAACCTCGAGTCAGGGGGGAGGGGGAGGGGATACACCGCTCTACAGTAATTTGAAAGTGATTGCAGTACCAGTTTTGGCCACAATCTTACAAACAGCTCCTTTAAATTCACTTGTAGCATATTGATTTTTGTTGTTGTTGAGTTTTTAGTCTTTTATTCGTAATTTATTTAAACAAAATAGTGTAGAATTTTAATGTCAGCTATTTATTGTTTACCAGGGATAACATGGGCATAGTTATCAGCTTATCTGTATCAGAATGAATTTTTAAAGATTTCAATGTAAATGTCCTTTTTGTACTGTACATTATGATGTTGGGATTCTTAAATTCACTTTTAGCATTTTGAATGATTCATTTTATTTTTACTTATTTAAACAAAATAGTATAGAATCTTAATATCGGCTGTTCATCAGTTATCAGGCATAATATATAAAGCATAAAATATTTATCTGCATATTGGTACCTTTACTTTGAAAGTACATTCATAACGATTATATTATTTAATAAATAATCAGATACTTGTTGCATAAGATTCATGTTATATTGGGAGCAGTCTTATCTGCTTAAGTGATGATGCACATCAACACAGGCTTGTATTCTAATAGTACAACGGCAATTTGATGCAAGTTTTAAGTGACTGTATGGTTTTCCCAACCCCCTAATTCTGTAATTTAAGAGTCCCCCGCTTGTGTTTTGTAACATGCTTAAATTAATTTATACATAAACATTTATAATGTTGGCGTCAGTAAGATTTTCAATCAAGTCAGTAAGAAAGTCTCTTATTCTCACTAAATATGAATTTATTTGATCACAATTTACTATGAAAAATTGTTTAGTTTTAATACTGTAAATTACTATTTTAATATATTCCTGTGATGGCAAAGCTGAATTTGCAGCATCATTACTCCAGTCTTCAGTGACATGATCCTTCAGAAATCATTCTAAGGCTGATTTCAAAAAATATTTCTTATTCTTATCAACTTTAAAAAACTGATGTGTGGCTTTTTGTATGGAAACCGTGATTAATTTTGTAAGGATTCTTTGGTGAAAAGAAAGTTCAAAACAGCAGCATTTATTTCGAATAAGAATATTTTGTAACATTGTAATTTCTTTAATAAAAAAAAATAAAAAACTGACCCTTAACTTTTGAACGGTAGTGTGTTTTGAGGCATGTTGCACAGTATATTTCATACAGAATTTGAAATGAGTGTGAATCTATACAAAAATAGTGATATTGATGGCCTCTCAGTTAGCTGCCTCACTTATCAGAACCAAGCATGTTGTTTTCATAAGCTGTACTGTGCATCTCACATACTAACCTTGCGTTATTTGTCCTTACCTTCCAGCTGTCATGAGATATTTGGCAGGAATCATCCCTGTCAGGTCCATCAACCAAAATGATTAAGTTTTACAGAAACAAGCCTTTTTATTCAGATCTGACATCACTGCCCTCTCCTGAGGCGAAGATTGGTGAGAATCAAAAGGGTTGTCCTTCAGGCCATAATAGTGTTTATATTGCAGCATACAGATGAAACTGAAATCATATTTTGAAAGTGAATTAATGCTATGCATGTGTGCAATGCTTCCACAGGTGAATATAAAGTGCAGAACATTCTACCTCAGGAGAATGGAAAAAAGGCAAAAGTAAAAGTTCAAGTAAACACCAGTGGTATAGTCAGTGTGAGCTCAGCTACTCTGGCCCTGAGGATCAGCTCAGACAAATCTGAAACTACAGAAATAGATGAGATTTTCGCGATCATGGTGGCTCTGATGATATTGAAATAGAGGTGGGTACCACATTGGGCTTGTGTTCCATAACCATGGGTGGACTAACAGCAAAAGGTACATTTTTTTGTCATATAATTCTTATCATCTTTTTGTTATAGATATCTTTTACTTTCTCAGATGTTATTCAATAATTTAAGTGTTAGTTTACCCTACATTTACTCAGCCTGGTGCTGGTCTAATGCTGTATAATACTTTAAAATTCAGTTTGTTTTTCACCAAACCCTATCGTATACCCCAGAACACTTGAAATATACGACACGTGTCACAACATCATTCTGTAAAACTTTTGCTTTTTTTAAAAACGACGAGCGTGAGCGGTAGCCTACTTTTTTTATTCTCATTTTGTTGTCTGAAAAATACAGGACAACACCATAAGAACAACATCAGGGTGAATAAATGACTACTTAATTTTCATATTAGAGTAAACGTTCCCTTTAACAAGGGGATGTAATTATATTTATTTTATTTTTTGAATGTAAAATTGATGTACAAGCTAATGTCAAGAAAAACAGTCAATAGTGCTTAGTTTTACACACATTCATACCTAATTTGAAAAAAATATGTATACTATTTTAAATATACTATTTAAAAATAATTACTGCTATATAAGGACTATAACAAGCACTCAACAGCTCCAAATTCAAGGCATATTTATTGTTGCAAACCATGTTTTTGTTATAGATACTTTTCTTTCTCAGATGTTATTCAGTTATAAACGAGGATGTTATAAAATGTATTCTATTGATGTTTTTCTTTTTTGTAAAAATGGTTGTGCATGTCAAGACAAAGTCAATAGAGCTTAGTTTTATACACAATCATACCTAATTTTTTAAATATAAAGACTGCTATAAAAGGACTATAATGAATTTTGAGCTGTTGTTTGCTAGACAACCTTTTTGACTTCAAGACCCTCAATTGTCCATAACAATATTTGAAGGCACCTCCTCACTCACAACTTTCTACATGATTAAATATTTTAGAGCTTGGCATAACTAGAAAGATGTATGTTTGTTATAAAAGTAACCAAATAATAAGAAATATATTGATTTTTAGTTGTTTTAGCTTGTCATGCTTGTTTTTTTTTTTTCATTTTAAAAGACCCACTGTGGTGAAAATCAAGTTTTTTTTATTTTGTTTATGTCTATGTGGTGTTTTTAATATGCTTTAAGACAAACCATGTGCAAATTCATGTCAACACCATTGCTGAGTAATTTTCTAAAAAAAAAAGACAGTCTCAAAAACGCAGTTTGAAATCGACGGTGTTTCTTACGTCACAAACTACCTTGTAACCAATCACTGTGAAGCAGGGGGGACTCAAGAGAAGCCAGGTTATCCCCGTATATTTTTCTGTTGATATGAAAAATCGTGTGCATTTATCAATATAGCAGTTGAATTATGTATATGGTGTTATGATGAACTATATGCCTTTCTCCACTGACGTGACGTTCTGAGTTGTTCAAAGTGTTTCTAATGATGCTGATTTTTAAAAGGCAGACTGAGATGGCGAACAGGAACATGGTTTGTGTAAAATTAGCAACATTATTAGCTGTTTGTTAATAATGCACATAATTACTAGCACATAATTATTAGCACATAATTACCGCTATGTGTCCGACGTTGTAGAGAGCGATACATAAAACGCATATAACCATTCTGATACATTGACTCATACAGACGAACCTGTATGAGTGAGTGGAAGCGGGGCTCATTTGCATATTCATGGGTCTGTGTATACTTAAGGAAGCAAGGGTGTAGAGTTACATTCAAGCTATTTTAAGGCAGGAATATTTAATTTTCACAGGAAAAAAGATTTAAATATGTAATTTTGGTGATGTGTTTTAAAGGATAAAATTATTGACAACAGGGGGACGTTAAATAATTTTAAGTCATCTTGAGGCCCCTTTTGAAGTTTGTTGAGGCCCCCTGGTTGAGTTAAAGGCAAGACTCTAATATATGTAGCAAACCAGGAAAGTCTCTTCAAGGAATGTAACCACATACTTTAATTTACTTAAAAATATCTATTAAAAAAACACCATTCTAAAATCCCATTAGAAATTCCAGAGGGAACCCAAGCAAATTAGCCTTCCAGGATGGTCTACAAATTGACATAATTACTGAACAGCTCAAGCTTTTATTGATGAAATACATACACACAAAGTGGTGGGAATATATATATATATATATATATATATATATATATATATATTTAGTTTACAGTATAGCTTAGCTAGCTAACATATGTGGTTCTCATTGTAATGATTTATATGATCAATAACATTGACTGATTGGGTTTCTATGAGGATGACAGTGAGAGATTGGCTCCTTGTTGTGTGATGCAGTAACATTATTCTGTAGAAATGTAACTATCTAATGTAACCCTGGTACTGTGATTTCTAAGACAAGATGCTGGAGCCAATATTTATATTCAAATATTCAGCTCTTGGTAGACAAAGAAAACATGCTAATAGCACAGTTTCCCCCCATGCAAGCAGAATCAAAGAGATGCACTGAGCGTAAGTGAGCTACATCTCTCACTTAATGCTTGGCCAGTACATTTAGATACATGTGTATATAAAAAAATCGCTATTCACAATTTCACAGCATGTCTTGTGAAATATCTTAATATGGATTTTAATTTTAATGGATCTTAATTTTCTGTCAGTTTGACTGACTGCAATACCATTATGCAAATAGGCATTGTCTGTTATTTACAGTTGAATGGAGAAGTAAACAATCACCCCCCTGATGCTAAAAAAGCCAAGATGAAGGTCAAGCATGTTGTTCTGCCTGTTAAGGAGACGTTTACCCAACTGTTGCCAAAGGATCGCCTCAGAACTTGCATAGAGCAGGAGGTACTGTTGACTAAATGTTTGTTTAACGCCACATGTCTAAAAGTAACAAAGTTCATTGATAAGGGAAAGAGGCGGGAACCAGCAAGCGTAACTTTATTAACAAAATAAACAATTTTTATATATATATATTTTTTAAAATCTTACTGACCCCAAATTTTTGAAAGTTATATAGGTCATGTGCTATTTGAAAAGAGGATCACACTAAGCCATTCTGAGCCAATTAATTTTAATTAAACATTTCAGTCCAATTGTAATGCTAATAATAAAATGCAGTTATATAAGCCATATTAAATTGGTTTTAGACCCCACTGTACATGTAATAGTTTTTAAGTGATGAAAGCAAAACAAATATACCTCTCTTTTTTGTATTAGATTGTTTCAGTAAAGCTCAAAAGGTGATTCAAAAGCTGTGATAGATATTTTGTTAGCCTAAGAAGTGTAATTTTGGTATCTTGACTGTATGAGGCCATAAACATAAATAAAGACATTCTGGTAGATTTTTCAGTATCAAAGCTATTCAAAAATCCATCAATCATTCTCACCATCTGGCGGTCTCTTAAATTCCTCTTCTTTTTTTCTGACAGAGCAAAATGATACAGCAAGACAGCCAGGAGAAAGAGCGTAACAGTGCTAAAAATGCAGTTGAGGAGAATGTCTATTACTACAGACACAACCTGGAGGGCCCCTTTCAGACGTTTCTGAATGCTCAAGTAATGTATCTTCCGTGCAGCTTTTCCCAGATAACACCCCATTACCTGTAGAGTGACATGTAATCTATTTAGCTCACAGGAACTGTTATCAACAGATTGTGATTTATTCATAGCGCCTGTTTAATGTTTTCATGTTTCAGAAGCCTGTTCCTGATTGCTGAATCTCTAAAGGCCATTTTCAGCTCATGCATAAATGAAACAAACTCTTATTCAAATTAGTTTGTAGTTCATTTGAGCTCTTTGGTGAAATGCAGTTGAATGGACCACAAATGTAAATGCGGTATAAAAATACTGCTAAACAAGCACTTGTTTTTGCTTTTCTCTAGGACCATCAGACATTCTGTGAGCTTTTGAATGGCACAGAGAACTGGCTGTATGATGAGGGAGCAGACCGAGATAAGCAGACGTACATTATCAAGCTGGCAGAAATACATGTGAGTCGTTTGTCCTTTTTGATGAACAAACACATTTGATAGGTTAGCCTTTGTGTGCCGTGACAAATTGATTTTGTGTTCTCTCAGAGATAGCTGGACTTGTACACTGCAATAGGTTTAACATTACACTCTGCTTGATATGCGACCACACACTGTAAACCCTAACGCTCAAAATACTAAATTGGTTTGAGTAGGAAAAACTTCAATTAAACTAATTAGTTCAGTCAAATTAACTTTTATGAGTATTTAGCACTTTCTTTTTCTTTCAAGTTCACAGAATGGATATATTTTAAGTAAACTGAACTGTTTCATTGTTTTGAGTTTTATGAAATTATTTCTTTTAATTTAGACGAACTTAAGTTTAACTGAAACGGCTGGGATGTATATTTCCCAGCATGCTTTGCCGATGGCACTCGAAAGGGAGAGTAAATGCTAAAATTAAGTGTAATACAATGTTTTTTTGTGCAAGATTAATGTTAAGCGGGTGATTTAGTAATGATTAATGTTTCGTTATGCTAATTTAGAAGAATTACTGTTAATGTTGGTTTTAGGATAGTTACCATCATGGTGACAAGTGGTGCATGAGCTTGATTTGAAAGCAAATAAAACCTTTATTTTGCTGCAATTGTTATTGTATAGCATACTATAATTAAGATGTTAACAAAATAGTATGTTAGCAAACTAGCTTGTTTAAGCTAGCTAAGTTTATACTAATAAAAGTGTTCACATTGAGATTACATGAAATTTTAAGTTAAATGTATGAATTAGTGTACTCAAACATTTCAAGTTAAGAACAATTCAAATGTACAAATACAAAATAAAAATATGTCAGTTCTGCTTACTTAAACTTTGAATTTCTTAACTTAAAAAATTTGTGGTTTAATTGACTCGCGCTGTCTTGACAGCTTGCAGCGTTTGCGATGGCATGTGCTTCGCTTAAAGGCTGGGCCAGTCATTTGTGTAGCTTTCAAAACCCCTCTGATGCACTTTAGGAAGAGCACTAATTGGATGCTGTGTACTGCAAACCAAACAAAAGCATTCATGCTTGCAAACAGTGATGTATTAAAGCCTTTTGTTTTATTCTACAGAAACTCGGTTTGCCTGTGCAAAACAGATACCAGGAGTCCATAAGGAGACCCAAAATGTTTGAGGAGCTGTCAGACAAAATACAGAGTTATGACTATTGTGGAGCAGTACAAGAATGGAGTAAGTTTTCGCTCTCATTTACTTTGTCATATTGTACATCTTATTTAAAACAATCATGCTCTGCAAGGACCATTATAGCATCGGGAGGCATTATGCACATTATTTTTTTTCTTTTACATTATAATGGATCCCATGCAGTTATGCTGTCAGATTTCAGTCATCAGTGACTTCACTGACTATAAACAGTGTCTGCTTTTACATTTATTCATTTAGCAGATGCTTTTATCCAAAGCACCTTACAAATGAGGGATGCAACAACACCGCAATTCATCCTAAGGAGACATTAATATCAGAAATGCTGCAATACTTTTAAGTTTCTAAGCTGACTAGAAAAGGCATCAATGGTTGTCTTATAGTTAACACAATATTATAATAAATTCAATAATTTGTCAATAACTAGGGATGCATGATATTTATTTATTTATCATTTAATGCCATATCAGCATCAAAAGCTTTTTTCATGGCAAACTCGAAAGTAATACAATTTAAAATAATCATAATACTATTTAAATTAATTGTATACAATCATTCTAAATTATTTAATTATATTGTCTCTACCAAAAAAATTAAAATAATACTGATGATAATAATGATAACAGGTATATGATTTTTTTTTTTTAACCTTTTTAAAAATGTCAATTAATGTATATACACAATATATTGTTGCCAAATCGGTTACCGGAAAATTTTAGAGGGTTTTTAAATCATATTTAACTGTATATACGTATATACTGTTTCAAAGGTGCAGTAAGCGATTTCTGGGAAACGCTGTTAAAAGCGGACCGAACGCCACAACACACTTGTAGCCAATCAGCAGTAGGTAGCGTAAACACTCATGATGGGGGAGGAGAGAGAGTGAGCAATAGGGAGATTTGAAGAAAGAATGTAGAAAGAGAGATGGCTGAGAGGCATTACAAAAGAGAAAATGTCAAAGGAATATCTATGGAAAAGGGGGGGGGGGGGGGGGTGTTATGAGCAGTGCTGGAGACACCTAAGTGGGAAAGCCTGAAAACGGATGCTGAGCCGCGTTGTTTCTGCTCCATACGTGAGTAACATTGGTTTAATGTTTCACAGAACCAAGATATGCTGTTGTTGTAATGTTAGCTATAGTAAAAGGGCAGTTTTGAGTGTCATTTTTTTGTCTTTATTTTTCATGAAGCATTATTTTGCTTCCCTTTATCAATGATAAAGGGACATGCACTCTTGTATTGTGTGTCTGTCCATTTGGGGGCGGAGCAATGAAGGAAGGAGTGTGTCTGTTTGCATTGATTTCAAATATCTTCTCAGAAATCGCTTACTGCACCTTTAACCCACCTTAAAATCTAAGGTAGTTTTAAAACCAGTTTAACAACTTAAACTTAACACAAAAACTGTTATTGTATAGCATACTATAATTAAGATGTTAACAAAATAGTATGTTAGCAAACTAGCTTGTTAAAGCTAGCTAAGTTTATACTAATAAAAGTGTTCACATTGAGATTACATGAAATTTTAAGTTAAATGTATGAATTAGTGTACTCAAACATTTCAAGTTAAGAACAATTCAAATGTACAAATACAAAATAAAAATATGTCAGTTCTGCTTGACGCTTGCATCACACACTGATGCCGCTTCTGTGTCACCACTGCACTGCAAAGATGGATTTTGTTGATAATGATTTCATTTGATTGGTAACAGCCCTATACTGTGTTATTATTGTAATTGAATTGAATTGAATTTGAATGTTAGAATTTGGTGATGCATACATCTAATAAGTTTAGATGACCTTGTATAGGTAAAAATGCCCCTGGAAATTTATTTAAGGTGGAAAATATTGCCCCTTAATAAAAAAAGTTAATTTCTGTCACTGCTGTGAACTGACCACCGCATAGAATATGAATAATATGAATGGCTTTGTAAATCAGCTGTCTAAACCAGCCATGGTACCAGCACAAAAACACACTCAGCTATAAAATCTTTGAAAATATCGAGATAAATGTTTTTTTTGCACACCTCCAATGTACAGTATTCATTTTTATTTCTTCGGGTCTTAAAAAGCCTTACATTTGACTTTAAAAAATGTGCAGAAACCCTGTGCATTTATTATATATTGCAAACTTTTGTCTCCCAGAGAGACAGTTACTGTCATATTGATGCCATAGACATGGGACAAAGTCAGAGTGTGTGTTGAAGATACTCAAGTGTGGATGACAAACATACAGGATTCTCAGGATAAACGCACACCTGATCATGATCCTGCCATAAACAGCACTCAGATCCAGGCGAGATTACAGGTAAGGAAAGACTAAAAGCATCATGAAAGCATTTCATTGGGGTAGACAGATCTATGAATAACCTTATATGTAACAAGTATTGATTACTATGTCCGAACACCCACACAGGGGTGGTGTTAGCTGTCTTTTCTCTGTCATCCTTCAACATTCAAAAGGTTTTTTGAAATAGTCTTTTACTGAAGCGTTTCATCAGGAATTTCTCACTTGAGTTTTACTTTTATTTACGTTTATTATTTCGTTTTTAATATAGAAGTTATTAGAAAACAGGACTTCAAGTCACAGTGAGCATATTATTAAATTAGTGAGCATGTTATTAAACCTAATTTATAATTAATTCAATTATATTTGCATTTGTTTGCGATAGTGTTTAACATTTCTTTTTTATAATTCTCCAGGCACTCAACAACAAACCCAAGCCCTGGGTTGACTCTTCTATGGATGACAACATTCAACCAGAGCTGCCACACAAGAAAAGTCCAGAAGATGTGACGACGGATGGAATACACTGATTTCGTTCAAAATGAAGCACAAAACAACCATGTCAATATTTAGCAGCTTATGATATTGGAATGTAATTGGAATTGCATGTAATATAATGGTTGCTGGTCATTCAGTCATGCAAACAGAGGTAAATGAACTTTTTTTGTTGTTTCTTATATTTGATGTTAAGAGGCACATTTGAACCTTGTTTCTTATTTTGATATGATAGTCATATGATAACTTTTAGTTCATCTTCATGTAGCATCTCTAGTTTGAAATCTTTAAAGCTCCCACTGTTTCTCTCCACAGTTTCAGTCTGGTTTCACAATTTTTGACTCAGACCATTGGCTGATTATGAATGCAAAAATCATATAATGAAAAATATTGCTGTTTTGGATTAAGAAATGAATAGATGTAGATGTAATAGCAGTTAACAACAATATTAAGAGAACAGCAAAAGGAACTGAAACTGCCATTGCCTAGCAGGGACTAAAAGAAAGCTCATGCTGAAACTATGGCACTAAAGTGAAAGCTTGCAATTTCAGAAATTGATGTACAAGGGCTGCTGCTATACGCTTGAGCGTTTTGCTTTATTTTCGCTGTGCAGTCAATATGATATGTCATGTTAAATTAGCAATTTATTTATAGTGCATACTGACAATCTGTGCAGGTGGAAATGCACCAGCTGTCCTTGTGAAATGTGTTGATACAGTGAATTGTTGTTTGTTCATTTGTCCTGTACCTGAAACCTTTGCTGAAATCACAATAAAATAAATTAATAAATTAAATACATCATTTCTAATCCATGTTTTTCTGCAAATCTCTTAGGTATAGGTTACCCAAATGTTTTTAATTAGGTCATCATTTACTCACCCTCATGTCGTTCCAAACCTAGAATGAATTGAATGAATTTTCTCTTTGGAACAAAATATATGATGTAAAATGTTGTTTTGGACCCCATTGACATTCATTGTATGGACAAAAAGAGTTTAAACATTCTTCAGAATTGGAACGGTATTCTTTAGGTTTGGACTATCCCTTTAAGGCTTTCAAAATGGTTAGAAAAAAATTTAACTGTCATGAAAATAAACATGAAAAGTGCATGTCTTTAAATCATGAGATGACATCTAAAGAAAAAAACAACTTCACTTCTTTGATAGTATTTTAATGTCATTTATTTGTCCTCATCCTAGTGTCCTTATCTTAGCACGCTGACTTTGACGTGACTAGTCATCTGCCTCGTTGGATTGGAATTTGGAGAGATCTGTAAGGTTCACAACAAGGTCTGAGTCCTCAAAAGTGTGGTAGTCCTTGAGACCCATTCTGTCTGAAGTTCTGATACGTTTGAATATTGCGTGGCACTGCCTGCGATCCAAAAAATTGGAGAAAATCCAATTTGTTACTCTTTAATAAGGAGACTTGGTTAACATTTAGATGTGTGCTTGGTCTGAATGAAAATATACACTAACCTCTTGCCAGGCTCAGACACACCTGGAATTGCTTTGTGCAGATTCGTTATCTTTGAGGATTGATGTAGGGTCACTTTCATCGATGAGGACATCCAGCTGTAATTAAAGCACATTAGGATTGTTTTAGAAGCCAGATTTCAATCTCTGAAACACCACCTGATCCATTCGTGGGGAAAACAGAGCTTTATGAAACAACCCCCAACCACGCCAGGCTTCATCCAAATATCTTACCTCACTCTTTTTATTTTTAGTTTCCACAGAGTCCAAGACATCTGACAGATTGGTCTCTCTATCCAGTATGGGTTGAGAAGGCATGCTTAAAGGATCTATGAGAATTTCCGAGGGAACAGCCGGGTGCTTCCAAGAAGCTGGTGTGTCGATGCTCCAACTCTCGTGTTGTCCAAATGTACCTGTAGAGTTCAATGTAGTTTAGGTTGTCATACATTTGATTCCTGAACAAATGACTCTAATGAATTGCTTCTTTTCAGTGAATCAAACTTATGGTTCACATAGCTTATGTCTTGTGAACCTACAAATTGAAAATTTTGATTTTATCATTTCAAGTAGTAGTCTGTAGGTCTATTAAAGGTGCGGTCACATTAGCAAAATTTTGCGGACAAAAAAAGATATATTGTCAGTATTGTAGCAATGGTCAACGTGACAAATTTTGTAAATTGATTTTGACAAGTACATTTTTCAAGTATCTACTTTATCTGATTATTTTTTTCTTTTGGGAAATGTTTATTTCACTACATTCCAAAGCAAAATATCATACTTTTTACTCTACTTCATTTCAGAAAAATATATCGTTCCTCGTTATTTTGAACTGAAGAAATCGCCAGATACCCAAGCTGAGACGCGATAGATTGATTCATGAACAAGCCAATTCTTTCCAATGAACCTGTTGAATTGGTTTACAAATTCCACTGAACTATTTATTCATGAATCTGACTGCAGCTGTTCTTGAGTCAACAACTCACTGATTCAGTGATCCGTCAAAATGTTGTATCGTTGTAGCTTGATTTACGCAATAAGTCCCTAATTCTGAATTTTAGCATTATTATTGTAAATGAAAATCATATTTAGGTCATGATTGTCAGTTATTTGTGATCTAAATCTGCAGTAATAGTAACAATAACAATAATAATACGTATAATGTATAATAAGTTTTGGTGATAAAAAAAGTTAAGTTCATAAATTTTGATTTTTGAAATTGATTGCATCTTCAACACCATAGACTCATGGAACCATCAAGACTTTCTCCTGGGACTGCATCTCGATGCTCGTTCAATGGCTAAGGCATTGCAAGTATTGTACAATTAAATAACTAATCAGAGGTTTAGTATAAGTGGTAAATCCCTTTATCCAGGTGCTTTAAACTAAGAAACTGATGGTTCTTTTAGATGGTTAAATTACTCTTTTCCATAACTTCATTCCCTGTTTCTGTTTCTGGTTTCATTTACTTTCACTTACCATTTAACCCATGTATGCGTGATTGTGTGCATGTGTTTGTTTAGATTAGTTATGTGTTCGTGATTTCGTTTTTTTAGCTGAGTGTTGATTCTGCTCCCTGCTTGCTACAATACATGCTAAGAAATGGCCACGAAAAAATCCTTTCTGAGAATTGATAGACTATCAATACTGAGTGTTCGCTGGACGAACAGATTAATTGATTGTAATATTAATTCAGCTACATTCAATTAATTCGATTAACTGATCCAAATATTTATAATCAATTATGACAAGTTATGATTAATTATTCATATTTCCCTTTTGAGATAATTTGTTACACTGTACATTTACTCAAGTACTTGATTCGTCCACCACTGATTTTAACCCCACAGATCGCAGCTTGAAATAGAGCCAATTTATTAGCGTCATTCGTTCAGGTGTTGGACTACACTGGTTGACCTGAAAGTTTTTGATTCACTTAAAAAGAACCAACTCAAGAGTCATTATTCCGAAATCGGACTACACTGGTTACGTAGAATTAGTAGCACCGTTGTTGAACTGCTGAATAAGTATTGCAGGAAATGCTGTGCTGTACAAGTATTTTAATACGATACTTAGTATGATGCACATTGGCAAAAGAATGCACATGCCACAACTGTTACTACTGGAAAAAAAAACATCTAAGCAACTTGTAGATGTACCTATAAACTCCCCATGGATACTCCACAACCGCACTGAGAAGTCCAATGAGGAGGTAAGCAGAAACTGGTCCTTGTCAATTATCTTCAAGCTTGAGGAGAGGAAATTATGGTAATAATGTTAATGAGATAAATAACTTTTTTTTAAATAACAAATACTAAACAAAAAATGAAAGGAAAATACATTAAATAATAGTAAATAAAGAAGAATATTGAATAAACACTTTTTGTTTGCTTTTTTTCTCCACTTATTGAACCTACCTAGTGATGCTGCTGATGTGTGCACGCCAGAAGTTCACCTCTAGAAATGAATAACACCACATCAAGACTCAACATAAACATAAAAAAATAGCAATAAAATGAGGAGTGTCCTTACTTTCAGGAGGGTTTTGATCAGGCCCCAGGGCATATTGCTTGACATCATAAACGTAGATGAAGCCGACATGATCGGCTGTAAAAAGCATGCTGTCATCCTGCGTTAAAGCCAGTTTCATAATCGCCTGCTGATGCTGAGACTTAAACATACGATTTTAATTAGAACCTTTGTCTCATTCTGTTGACATTGAATTTATAATCAAACTTGAGGAAAGACATGATATATAATATATACGAATATACTTACAGCCTGAAAAGACGTGATGAACTTCCCGCCATTCAGAACACTCCAGAAATGAACATAACCTTTGAAAGAGATGAAATACATTCTGCAAATTGAATATGAACTGATTTCTATCATTTTATTCATCGCAAGGACCAGTTTACCTTCAGTATCTGAAGATACAAGCCAAGCAGAAGATGACAATTCAGGAACAAACGCCCGGGTCTTTAAGAAGATGAGGCTCAGCACATTTGTGCATTGAACTATCAAGAAAAAATAAATAAAAGTAGTCCATATGAGTTGTGCATAATATACCAAGGTTTCAAATAACCGATTTGATTGAGGACCAGCAAATCTGAAATCATTATTCACTGAAAATTCATGGGAAGATTGGCATACCAGGATAACTGCTGCTCTGTTGAGGGGTCGCTTGAGGAGTCTGGAAGCGAGACAGTATGCGTTCAGACACTACATTCCATACGATGATCTCCCCATCGTAGCTGCCAGTGGCCAGGAGGTGTGGTGTGCATTGAGCAATGCACAGAATATCCACTTTGTGCCCATTCCTCTGTGTGTGAAACATTCAACACATTTCCCAAAGTGCCCCTGCATATTTGAAGGGGATTCAAAGTACATGTGTGTAGACATGGGTGTGAGTAGTGGAGGATGCTAATACCACATCGTCCTGCCAAGAAGGTTTTGGTCTCTCATTGTACGGAGTTTCCTCTTTGGAGTCCTGTCAAAGAAAACTAACGTGTTTAGCTTCAAAAGTAATCACTGGCAATTCTACACTATTCTGTTCACAGCCTCTTGAATTAAATTAAATCACTGGCATTAAATTTGGTGCATATTGTGGCTTAATCTGGCAAAGAATGGTCCATTCAGA